ATTTTTTTTGCCGAGGGTTGGGAGATCAAGGGCCACAATAGGGGTGCTATTTTGGTTTATTGTTTGGAAGGATTTTGAAACGACTCTTTGCTTTTTAACTTTGTTACACCCATTGTAGTACATAGGTTACATTTTCAGGTGTTTCAGGTCTCAACGTTATAAGAAATTATACTTTCAGTTGTCAGTAATTCTGGTCAGGTGGGCTGCAGGGAACACAAGCCAAGTGTTCAGAAAACTGCAAGTTATCTATCCCTAACTTTAGGGTTATGGTAAAAATAAAGCAAAACTCATACCCAGAGCAAACTTGAAATGTCCATCAGAAGTATACTGTAATTAGGCTTTAAAAAAAAATATCTTTGGACATAATTGGAGCTTTGCTGGAACAGTCAAAATCACCATCTGCTTCAGGCTTTTGTTTCATTCACAATGGCACTAGAAAGCACACAAAAACAAAGTTTGAAAGCAATAGTGCCACCCTGTGGCTTGCACCCAACTCAGACACACAGCCTCCAAACACTGGGTGTTTCTCAATCTCAGCCATGTTAAAATGGGTGAGCTTCAATTTCCAGAATTCCCCCAGCCAAAACCAATTTTGCTAATAGCCTTCTTTAATAACTCTGAAAGAGCAAATTGTAAGAGGGAGAGAAAACAACCCCCCACTCTTTATGACCTTTACAGATAAATTCTTTTCATTGCTGTAAACCATCTTCTGAAAATCTGTTACAGAAACATTCCATTGCAATGCAAATATTTGCAATAAAACTGTAACACAAAATCCCTTGACTGCTGTGAGTGCTAAGATTTCATCAAGTTGTTTTCACCATCTCCCCCCTTTGTTTCTTTTCTCTAAAACATGCATCTTCTTCTGCATAATTCAGACTTTTTCAAACCATTAATTGGCTAAATGTCAAAACATGTTTGACTATACAACCATGTAAATGCCGTGATTTATGTACAGTACTTGTCTCAGATAAGGATGGTATTTGTATGATGTCACCATGTACTTGTCGTTTTGACATTTTTGTGATATACTGCAGATGCTGATTTGTCACCACTACACACAACTCTGAAACCTGGAAACAAGATCATACTAGCAATCTGAGTTCATATAAAGATTAAAAGTGCATCTTCTTAGGCATTAAAACCTGGCTGAAATAAGGAACTGTTCGGTGCTTATTGTATTGAACAGCCAGTTGGCACTGACAATTAAAGTTATAGGTAGGTCTCGATTAGTTAATGAATCTCATGAAATGGTTTGCTTTATTTGAGTATGTACTATTCAAAGTGATATTGTTATGGAAAATATGGTAATTAGTTCTAGCCCAATGGAAATAGGCAGTGAAAATTTTTAAACATAATTTGTATGTGTTTGTTAATAAAACATTACAGTAAATGATAAAAAGAATATATTTATAATATAGGTTTATGGTTAACTTTCTATAGAGAAGTTACAGAAAGCAAAATAAAAAACAAAAAATTCAATCACAGATTCAGTTATCCAGACATGTAGACCAGACATGTCAAACTCGTGACGTCACACGACATCGCGAGACGTATCGGGACTGTTTTGCCATTGCCGGCAATGGGGTGGGCGCGGCTTCCGGATGATGCGTCCGGCCTGTGGGCTAACAGTTTGACACCCCTGATGTAGATGGTCCCATTTTAGCCTTGCTGTGACTACATTCATGTTGTTCAATTATATCAAATTTTTGCTCCAATGTAATAATGAGCCTCCTCTTTTTAAAACGTGCACTGTTTCCTCTAATAGAATTTTCTTTCTCTCCATTTTACAAACATGAAGATTAATACATGAAAAACCCAACTGCAACTGCATATGCACTAGCCTTATTTGCATACTCACTAGCTTCGCATTAACTGAATTTTGGCTCACGTTAAAAGCATCTGGTATCAATTTACAATTCACACTATATCAAATACTGCACTACTTGAACTTGCCCTAATTGTGACTTACCTGTACACTTCAATCTCCCTGCCGATCTAAATTTTCTAGGCAGTCTCCAGACCCGAGAGAGAGCCTTTTCTCAAGGATGACTTTAACATGTGCCCTCAGGAGATTCCTCACCCCTTCGCTTCTTAGAGAGAAAGTGCTAGGGTCTCTTCTGAATCAGAAGCTAAAGAGGGAAGCCGGATGGACTGTTGGCCAGATGAACTAGGTGACCATGAATGTAAGCAACCATGAACCTAAGCAACTTCAGAATGATTCAAGTAATGGGGCACTGTGATGACAGCTACGGAGATAGAACAAAAAGAATCTGTTCTGTAGAGGTAAACATTGTGGCAGAAGAGGGCAGCCATAGACCTAGTCAAACCACAGCAGTGACTGGCACTATAGAAGACCAGTCTTAGCTTTAAACCTTCCACCACCTCTCCAACTCCAGAGTGTGTTCCTGTTGCTCCTGTTCCTTGCTCTTCATTTGGACCAGCTCATGGAATTCTCAGAGGTTAGAAGCTTGAGAGTTCTCTCAGGAAGGTTATGACACAACAGTTAAAGTTTTCAAACTGTATTTGCCTAGTGTTCTTTCTGCATCAACTGCCACAGGTCAAAATGGCTATTCTTTTAAAGATAAAGGCAGAATTTCAGGAATATGGAAGAAGACATTTCCATGCCTGAATTGAGGCATGCAATGTATCTTCTGCCCAACAACTCTGGTAGGTCCCAAGAAATTGTGGGATTGCCCAGGAAGCAACTAACTTTGCTTTGGGGTTCAGGTTTTCACTGAGGAATAAATAACTACCCTAATTTAGACACTGTGTTTAGTTCTAATTTATTTTTTTTAGGCTTAAAGCATTATTCTCTTATTCTTATTTCTCTGAATAAGTAGAGCATTCTGTATAATTTTAGATTGGTTTCCAGAATATTTTTGCTATTATTTTTTTTTTTAAGTAAAATTGAATTTGGAAGCAAAACTCTTCCCCAGCTTATTAATCATAGTGAACCAATGCTATCTTTCACTGTGTTAAGTGAATCACACAGCCATTAAGCAATTCTGGATTCCCCCATTGACTTTGCTTGTTGGAAGCTAACTGGTAAGATTGCAAATGGTGATCAAAAAACCCCAGGATACTGCAACCATTGTAAATACATGCCAGTTTCCAAGAACCCGAATTTTGATCGTGTGATTACCGGGATATTACAATGATTGTAAGGAGCACCAGTCGTAACTTTTTCATTGCTGTTGTAATTTTGGTCGGTTGTGAAATGGTTGTAAGTCAAGGTCTACCTGTACTGAGCAGTGAAGTTAAAAGATGCAATTCAACAGTATCTGCAAGCACATAGATTCTCTGCCCAAAAGGCAGAGAGATCCCATTTTTTTCTTTCATGCAAAATAGCAATTTCATATTTGAGGACTTAATAAAAGAAACACAAGTTTGTATTATAAGCCATAAATTAATGAAACCACGAGTTACAAAAAAGCATGGCTTTAAGAATTATGGACTAATTTGTTTTTTTTAAAAAAAATCTTTCCATGTATTATGTTCATCTCTTTCATTGTTCCCAGCCTCACGACCTCTATGAAAAATTTATATAGATATATTGTTTACAACTAACCATTCTAGCCATTGTCTCTCCACTGCAGGATGAAGGTCTCTTCCACATGTTTCCAATCAATAAGGTCCCGAGCTTTCTTTTGTTAATTGGGCCCACAATACTTGCTGATGTCATTGATCCATCTTGTTTTAGGTCTCATTTGTGGATGCTTTTTATCAAGTGGGATCCATTCTATGACTGCCTTAGTCCACTGGCCATCAGTTCCTCTTGCTACGCTATTGTTTACAACTATGTTTAATATATGCACTCATATAAATTAAAGCTTTAAAAAAAAATCTAATAAAAGATCTATATGCAAGTTTTGCTGACAACTTGCAATTCAGAAGTGATAATTCCTCCGTGGCTTTTATACAGCCCACCACGTCTCTTAAAATGCCTGACATTACTGAACAGCTATGCCATAACAGTTTGAGATAAAATGACTCAATTGAGTAGTAAAATACTTAGCTTGCATGCAAAAGACATCTGGATCCAAGAGGTAGCATCTGGAGACTTAGCTGGGAAGACCTGAAAGTCTGCAGATTTACTGCTATTGCTATATACTATAGATAATATTGAGCGCGATTAATGAGGTAGCTTCCTCTCGTCCTGAGTTAGATATTTGAAATACTATTGTACAGTCTTCAGTATTTCTGCCTCTTCCAATGGGGTAACTTAGAGTAATGGTGACAGCATAGAAGGGCTAAATAGGTTGGTTATTACAGAATTTGCCCATCAAGTGTCCTTCAGATGTGTCAGAGAGAAGTTCAAAAACGTCCTGCTAGCCTGGTCATTGCAATGGAATTCTCTTGAGTTGCAGTCCTAGATGTCAGGATAGAGAAAATTGATTGCTCTATGTCCTTAGACTTGTGAAAGTCCTTTTAAATATCTCACCAAAAGTACAGTGAAAGTATAGATAGTCCTTGACTTACTAAACAGGCACTTAGTGAATGTTTTAAGTTAGAATGGAGCAAACAACAACAACCAGTACTTATAGCCCAGATTCAAAGTCCTGATGGCTGCCCCTGCTCAAGAGTTGTGTGAACGCATTTTAGGTGCTCAACCACCAACTCGCATTTGTGCAGCATCCCATGGGTCATATGGCCATGATTTATGACATTTTTGCTGAAACCAGCATTTACTTCTGGTTTCCCACAAAAAATGCCCATTGTGGAACAATGGGTTTGCTTAATGACCGCAGCATTCATTTAACAACTGCCACAAAAAATATGTTGTAAAATTGGCTAAATCATCAGCATGAGTTACAACTGTAATTCCAGGCTCAATTGCAGTCAGAAGTTGAGGACTTCCTCTATTTTCAACATATATATATTGCAGGTCCATTGGAAAAAAAACCCTCTCTGAATAAAGCCTCTTGCAGAACAAATATGAGGAAGCGGACCAAATAACAGAATGGCTCTTCAAATGCCATAGGACATTTCTCGCTTACTGTGAAGAGTTCTGCTGCTGCTGCTTGTGGGGAGGCTTCAGGTGCTGCTTCTTGGATTTCTTGAAGGACGAGAACAGAGAAGCAAATGGGGTTCTCAGTCCTTCGAGGATGGAAGTGGATCCAGGCTTCTGGGCTGGTGGGACTTCCAAAGCAGAGCCCTTTGTGTTTGCAGAATCTGAAAAAGAAAAACTATAAGTTAATAAAAGAGGTGGCCGCATATTTTACAAAACCATGATATCGTTCTGTTCTGATTTATTCAATTTCTATAGCTGCCCAACTCAAACAAGTGACACACTGATGTCACCTAGTACAGTGGTGGTGAACCTATGGCACGGGTGCCAGAGGCGGCACTCAGAGCCCTCTCTGTGGGCACACGCGCCGTCGCCCCAGTCCTAGGCCTTCAGCTGGGTTTTATAAAACCTTTTTGCTTTAGGCCTCCGCCGCCGTGTGCAAAAAAAAAAAAAAGGTTCAATCAATCAATCAATTTCAACTTCTCGCGGAAAAAAAAAGATCTTGCAAAGTTGGAATTGATTGATTGAACTTTTTAGTCCCACCCAGTCTGCCATTACCACTGCAGCCATACCCAGCCAATGGGCCACACCCAGCCAATGGGCCACACCCACCCGGCACCTGACGATGCATAAGTGGGTTTTGGATTACAGTTTGGGCACTCGGTCTCTAAAAGGTTCGCCACCACTGACCTAGTATGAAGATTTTTTAATAGGATGTCCCTAGTACAAGTAACCAAATTAAAAAAATGTCCAAAATCTTATAACAACACCTAAAGCTTATATGGTTTTGTCCTTATTTTTGGAAATGTATGTATGTATGTATGTAACTCTGTGTATGTATGTATGTATTTGTCTGCCTTTATTATTTTTATAAATAACTCATGGCAACAAACATACCTGATACTTTTTCTTCCTCCTATTTTCTCCACAACAACAATCCTGTAAGGTGGATTAGACTGAGACAGGATGACTGGCCCAAAGTTATCCAACTAACTTTCATGCCTGAGGCATGATTAGAATTCATAATCTCCTGCTTTCTGGTCTAGTACCTTAACCGCTGGAGTGAATGTACTATTGTTACTCAGTTCTATGAAATATAAATGGAGCGTCCATGGATATTTGGGTGTGTGGGGGTGTGTGTGGGGAATTGCCTGTGCCAATTTGCCCAAAGTCACTCCACTGCCAACTCCTATTAATATGGCGGTCCTAAAAAAGTTGTGATGGGTTAACATGGCCCACATAAAGGGTGAGAACTCCACCAAGGTGATTTAATAATAATAATAATAATAAAGTTGGAAGGGACCTTGGAGGTCATCTAGTCCAACCCCCTGCTCAGGCAGGAAACCCTATACCATTTCAGACAAATGGCTGTCCAGTCTCTTCTTAAAAACTTCCAGTGTTGGAGCATTTATTTATCCAATAATTATGGTTAAACCATCTGTGTGTAGAATAAAATATAGCTAGTTCGGAACTTGCTAAAAGCAACAGCCCCACAGAAGTATTTCTTACATCTTTATTAGTGCTGAGTATAGCAATCGACACAATCTTTTTGCTCTGATATCTGATTATCTTGCCACTTGCATGTTTCTGATCTCCCCCCTGTCTGTCAAATTCTATCATCCATTTTATCTATCTAAATTGAGTTTCTGTTCCTTGACAAGTAGATAGGAGAAACCCATTGTTTTATCCGCAATCTGATTTATCTAAACTGCTTTTTTGTCTTATCTTCCACAGAATGACAACAGAACTTGAATGCAGTAAATCAGTCACTGTTCTGCAGATATACCTGTGATACACAATTTATTATTTTCCTCCTGGTAAAACTCTTTTAAAAGCATGAGTAGTGACCCCATTAGAATGTATTTTCTGTTGTAATCAGATTAATGTCTTCACTTGATAGAAAACCAAAATTAAGTTTCAGCATTGTCTTTTAATATTGTTTTCTACTCTAGAAAAAAAACTTAATCATGTTTTAGTACTTGTGCCAAACACAAGCTCAATTATGCGCGCATATACATGTTGGCAGGTGTCCATCTATCTATCTGTGTGTGTATGTATAAAAATTAACCTTTTCCTTTACACATTCCATAGATAACATTGTTATTCACTGTGAATATGGTAGTGACAACTCACTATTTCCCATGGCCTTTTTCAACCGGTGAACTAGTGGTTGTTTCGGAATTCTGCTGATATCAGTCTCACTTTGAAATTTTCTCTTCTGGAAATCTTCAAGCCATTCTCCTCTCATGCCCGGATACCCTGTTGCATCTTCATTTTTCTTTTGAAATTTGCTAAAACAAAGACACATATATTACTCAACAGCTTCTTATTTTCATTCAAGTCCTCAATAATGTCCTCAGAAGATTTATGGGTCTTTAAAATAGGCTATAGGAAATCTTGTTCAGTGACCATAACTGCACATGGTTGCTATAACAGACAATCAGTAAATAAGGATTACCTGTATTGTCAGTGGGAAAATAGTGTTTCAAAATTCCATAAGCATATATCAATTTGGTCTGGGGAAAAAACCATTAATAATTTAGTGTTATTTTACTAAGTCTGTTCAAACTGTGGGCTTGGGCATTCCCCTAACCATTCTCAATCCATTATAAAGGAGACCAATGAAATTTAAATTATCCCAGGATCTAGTGAATAAGAAACAATGGATGGAAACTAATCAAGGAGAGAAGCAGCCTAGAATTAAGGAGAAACTTCCTAACAGTGAGGACAATTAACTAATGGAACAGCTGGCCTTTAGCTGCTGTGGGTGCTCCATCACTGGAGGTTCTTAAGAAGTGACTGGACAGCCACTTGTCTGGAATGGTATAGGGCAGTGGTGGTGAACCTATGGTATGCGTGCCAGAGCCCTCTCTGTGGGCATGTGTGCCATGCCCCGGAGATGGCGAGGGACTGGCCTCCGCCGCCCTGGCCCCGCCCACCCAGTCTGCCATAACCACCTTGGCCACGCCCACCCGGCACCCGGTGATAAATAGGTGGGTTTGGGGTTGCAGTTTGGGCACTGGATCTCTAAAAGGTTCACCATCACTGGTATAGGGCCTCCTGCTTGAGCAGGGGATTGGACTAGAAGACTTTCAAGGTCCCTTCCAGCTCTATTCTGATTGGTTGATTGATTATGAATATTCATTTAACAACAGTTTGAAGTTACAACCGCAATGAAAAAAGTGACTTTATGATCTGTTCTCAAAGTTATGACCATTGCATCACTATGGTCACATGATTGCAACTTGGGTGCTTGGCAGTGAGCTTGAATTTACATCAGCTGCAGTATTTATTTATTTTATTTATTTATTTATAAATTTTATTGGCCACCCATCTTACCACAGGGCAACTCTGGGCAGTCAATGTACAGTCATAAAAATGTATTTAAACAGTACATTAAAACATAAATAAATCAAAATGATGTTCAAATCTAATGACACATGGGGAGGACAGAGTAGAGGGAGATGGGATCGGTTGTTGCTTGATCAACCACTTCCATTGTGCTGTTCCCCCATTGGGGCTGCAAGCCATATGGCAGATCCAGGTCTTGAGGCCCTTACAAAAAGATAGGAGGGTTGGGGGCAATATGCTCCAGAGGGCAGGAGCAACAGCAGAGAAGGGCTCGCCTCCTGGACCTTGCCAGCCGGAATAATCAGGCTGACGGGACCTGCAACATGCCTCCTCTGCCAGCATGGGTGGTACGGGCCAATACCAGTGGGGTGAGACAGTCTCTCAAGTAGCTGCCGTCATGTGATTGTGACCTTCCCAGTCAACTTCCTACAAGCAGAATCAATTAGGAAAATCAGATTGGCACTTAACAACCATGTAAAAATGGTCATAAAATTAAGTCTGATCACTTGATGTTCCATTTAACAACCATATTACTTAGCATCCAAAATTCTGATCCCAACTCTGATTATATGTCAGGAACTACATGTATGTATCACAAAAAAAATGGATGATCAGTTACACTATGCTTTGAAAAAGTCTGGTCTTTCTTTATTCCAGAAAAAATAGTTTTTCCACTAACCATTGCCAAGTGTGTTTACATCACAATTTGCATTCAAATAATTTGTTTATCATTTAAACCCACAATTTTCAAACATGGCAACTTTAAAAAAGTGTGGACTTCAATTCTCAGAATGTCTTAGCCAGGTTAGGGAATTCTGGGAGTTGAAATCTACACATCTTAAAGTTATCAAGTTTAAAAAACACAGATGTAAACCATGGTGCTGCATCTAACCTAACTGGATTTGGAGATTAACCTATGGTTGGCCCTCCATCTGGTCCCTGGAGAAAAATAGGGATGCTGATAAGTCTTCTGTCAGTGAACTAAGGGAGTCTGACTGTGCTGAGCCTCAACTAACCTCCATGGTTTGTTTTTTACATAACTATAAAAGAAGAGCAAAGGATCCATCTCCACAAAGGTAACTGTGATATTAAGCCAAGCTGATCAGTGGATAAGTATATTATTGATGGTTACCCCTAGAAATACAGAATAACATTATAGCAGATTAACAGAGTTGGAAGGGACCTTGGAGGTCTTCTAGTCCAGCCTCCTATTCAAGCAGGAGACCCTATGCCTTTCTGTACAAATGGCCGTCCAATCTCTTCTTAAAAACCTCCGGTGATGGAGCATCCACAAGGCAAGCGGCTTCACTGGTTAATTGTTCTCACTGTTAGGAAATTTCTCCTTAATTCTAGGCTGGATTTCTCCTCGATAAGTTTCTTGTTCTGCCCTCAGGTGCTTTGGAGAATAGGTTGGGGCCCTCTTCTCTGTGTCAGCCCCTCAAATATTGGAAAGCTATTATCATGTCACTCCTAGTCCTTCTCTTTGTTAGACTAGACATACCCAGTTCTTGTAACCGTTCATCATATATTTTTGCCTCTAATCCCATAATATCTTCATTGCTTTTCTCTGCATCCTTTCTAGAATCTCATATCTTTTATCATAGTGATCACGACTGGATGCGGTATTCTAAGTGTGGTCTTACCAAAGCAGTATAAAATAGTACTTTGCACTTTAGCATGTCATATAAAAAGATGTAGATACTAAATGAAAAAGTAAACCTCCCCCCAAACCCTGAAGTTATTCTTTTCTGAGCTTCAGCTACTGTAAGAAGTGTGGACTTTCACTCCCAAAATTCCTCATTCTGGGAGTGGAAAATACATACTTAAAATTGCAGAGAAACATTGGTTTACAAACTATATGGGACTGAATGGGGTGTTCTAACCAAATCCTAGCAAGAGAGAGAGAGATTCTTCATGCAGAATATCCACTTCTGTGTTTTTATTTGTATCTATTATATCGGCAACCATCTCAACAAGTGACTCTGGGCAGCAAACAGAATTAAAATAAAAACAATTACAAATATGATACAAAAATTCTATCTGCTTCTACACTAGCCCTAGACAGAATCACATTCTCCCTGAAAGATAGGAGTCATAAACTTTATAAACTTTATAACATCTCAGAACAATGTATGCCAAGACCCTTGCAGAAATGTTACAACCACACTGGAAAAAAAAACTTATGTCTGCTTTTCACACTTATGACCATTGCAGCATCCCCATGGTCACGTGATCAAAATTGGGATGCTTGGCAACTGGCATGTATTTATGACAGTTGCAGTGTCCTGGGATCATGTGATCCCCTTTTGCAACCTTCTGATAGGCAAAGTCAATGGGGAAGGCAGATTCACTTAACTACCATGTTATAATCTAAGAACTGCAATGATTCACTTAACAACTGTGGCAAGAAAAGTCATAAAATGGGGCAAAATTCACTTAACAACTCCCTTGCTTAGCAATAAAAGTTTTGGGTTCAATTGTGGATAATAGGTCAAGGATTATCTGTACATGGCTTGAGTCTGCTGTACCATGACACCAAAGTCACAGTTTGTTTATCAGCAATCCCGCCTCTATCCAGTGGTGGGATTCAGATATGTGAACAACCGGTTTTCTGTATGGATGCCGCTTCTGGAAGTCCATTCTGGGCCTGGGCAACAAAAAATTAGCTACCGGTTCTGCCGAACTGGCTGAATCCCACCACTGCCTCTATCCCTGGTGCACATTTTTTAAAAAAAATATTGCATTGAACACTTCTGTCTCTAGATATCTATGAAAAAATACATTGCTTAAATTAGCTGCCCTTCAAATTTGGCATTTCCTAGCTATGTCAGACCACAATTCTCATATACTGGGATAGTGAGAATTGTATCCCTGTATTTGATGGGGAAAGACAATTCCAATAACAAACACAGATCTACTAAGTAAAATGCAACAATTAACACAGTTGTTAATTGTTAAAAACTAAATATAAAAATGTGACTGCCATTGAAAAGAGAAGGGAATGAGCCTTTGTTACAGATTATATCTGACTGGTGATTCACCCGGAGTGTATAAGTTTCTCTTCACTTCATTAATCTTCTAGACAGCAAGTTATTACTATAATCAATATAATGAGTCTACATTCTTGGCGTACCTATCAGAAATACCTAGACAATATAAACACGGTACATGTTGTCAAAACATGCTCCTCTTTTTGAAAAAAAGAACTGGATTTTTCAAACTGTTTTATAAAATTTCTGCCAGGCGTGAAATTTTAAGAATAAAATTAGACTTTCTGTTTAATTAACTAGTTCTCCTTCGGCATCAACTCTCAATGATAAGCCCCTCAGCCAAGGAAAGACTCAAGAGAACAAACAGATAAACGCTGTGATGTTACCTACTGCATTTAATTAAAATAAAAGCTAAAATAGTTTGTTAACTGGTCACAGCAGGTGGCAGCACTTAGTTGACTTTGACTGATCTGGGGGGGGGAATGGGACCATATCTGCTTAGCGCTTTAAAAGAAACTACCAGGAAATTCTAGGTTTGGGGGGCGAGACTGAGAAGGGGGAAAATGTATTCAGATATTTGGACTTGCAGTCCAAAGGATTCTTAGCAATGGGCATACTGACTAAGCACTGTAAGATTTGAAGCCCAGATTGCTAGGAATTGTCCAAATTAGGGAAGTGTATGAAAGCATGCAAATGTGAGTAGATAAAATAGGTACCAGTTTGGTGAGGGGTCTAGGACAGTGGTGGCGAACCTATGGCACGGGTGCCAGAGGCGGCACTTGGAGCCCTCTCTGTGGGCACACGTGGCGTTGCCCCAGCCTTGCCTCCCCCCGTGACCCCCTCCTCTCCAGCAGCCCTCCTGAAGGAGAGTCGCCCCCGAGCGTGGCCCACACAGAGCAGCGCAGCCAAGGACATGGCAGCCAGGCAGCATAGACAAGATTCTGCCCTCA